CAAAGACTCATATTTCGCTTTTCAGGGCTATGTATGACCATATTTTCTAATTACTGCTACCACAAAAATAATAGGTGCCACAATGAAATGTCTAGACGCCCTGGCAACCTGGTTGCCGGATTTTGTTAGGCTCTGGTCCAGCGTATCTGGTGCTCTACATCATTCCATTTTATATATCCTCCAAGACTCCTCAAGAGTAGGGTCAGTACCGGCTCCTCTGTATCATCTTGTAGAGGAAGAAGGAACATATGGCATTGGGAACATGAAGCAAGAGAGGATGTGGCTTGGAAGCTCGGTAACAGGTGAAATAAGAGAAACTAAGGCCGAGTTCAGACTGGCAATTTGAAGTGCTAGGGAGTCGTGGCAAAGAAAACCCGGAATGGACCTGGAACAGCTTGGTTGCGGTATTCCCTTTCACACCGCAGCAAATGAAGCAGGAGGATACTGTGGAGGAAGCGCAAGGGAGCGTTCGCACTGTTGGACCGCCCTGGTGGCCTGTTAGTGGATGTTTCCGCGCTGGGTTGCATGCGCCCATACTCATGGGCGCAGTGGCAAATAGGGCAGGATCGTGCAGGCGCCAGTGGTGCCTGCACGCAGACACAGCCAGTGCCTATTATCAATGACTGCGGGTTGTTTCTGCCTTAGCAGCACTTGGGTTCACACTCAGGGAACCGGAATCAACGCGCTGTCACGGTTTGCTACCACTTTAACATGATATCTTTTAAACTCGGGAGGGAAGCTGCACAAGACGGCTTGAGTACGGCTGGGGGACGCCTAAAACATGTGCCTGTGTGAACCCGAAATCTGCTACTGAAACGCTCCTGAAGCGTTTGCCTGCCGGGCCAAACTGCCAGTCTGAACGCGGCCTAAAAGTTAGTGCTTTTGTTTGCAGTTCATTCTAGTGCACTGTGTGTATGGTTATGTTTTACCATACTGGATTACTATAATTTTGTTTATTGTGACACTACTGCTTAACTGCATAAGTAACATAGTATATCTCTAGTAAAGAATTCTGACAAACATTAAAGATGCTTTCCATTTAAGTTTTAACAGGCAATTCTGGATATTTTACATCCAGCTTTTGATGGCAATTGACACCAGACATGTAGGGCCACAAAAAGAGGACGGTGGGATAACGAAGTTCTAAATGAAGATCTTGTGATGGTAGAACTGCAATAAGGTGAATATAAATTAAAATTGAGAGAAGACTTAATAATTGAAGGCGATACTTGCCACTGGTTTACATATTTACAAATCCTGGAAAGGTTCAAAGCTGATAAAAGGTACCATGACTTTGAGCAATCAAAGTCTGAATTTGAAATAGAACTATGTACAAATGATGAACACGTTATTGTTAAAATGTCTAAACTCTTATTGAAATCTGAAACTGGGGAGGAGCAAGTTAAAGAATGCATGGTAAAAAGGGCAAAAAACTTTGGACATGACATACATATTGAACAATGGGAACGTATGTGGACTAAGGGTTTGAAATTTACTTTAAGCATTAGTCTTAAGAAGAACTTTTATAACATGATGTATCATTGGTATGTCGCCAGAGAGATGGTCTGGAATGTCCAAAGGAACTTCTAGTTCATGTTGGAAATGTAATCATCATGAAGGGACATGATGGACTTGTAAGAAAGCCAAAAAATTTGGACACAAATATTAATATAAAAGATTTTAAAGACTAATAGACAATTGAAATCAGAGTCCCTTTTGTTAGGACCAATGGACGATTGGTTGGAAAGAAGCCATGGAACTTTATATATGACTATGGCAACAAGAGTATTATACACACAGAAACGGAAGTGTCCGACAATACATACAATAGAAGAATGGTTGGAGAAGATGTTGGACCTTGCAGCAATGGCTAAACTTACTGAGTTGGTTAGGGAAAACACAATTAGTTCATTTATTACAGATTGGAAACCCCTTATAGACTTTATGCAGGAAAAAGATAATCATAATTGTATGATTTGTGGTTTCAATTATTAAGATATTAAGATACAAAGAAAGAGAGTTCTTTATTCTATATATAAATGAAAGACTTTGTAATCAAACATATTCGTTGCAGAGAAAATCAGAAGCCTTCTTCTATTTTATGTGTGGGTTTTTTCCGTTTTTTTCTTTCTTTTATTTTCTCAATAGAAATTTAAAATTCCAAGAGGGAAAAAAAAGATCTTCAGATGGTGTTTGGAAGGACCAGCTAAGTATGAAGCGCTGATACCCTTCACCAGGCACAAAGTCCTACTCCACTATAGAAAACTCATGATTTTGCATATTAAACAAAACCTTCAGTAATCCCAAATATTACACAATGTGACCTGCTTCCTTGTTATCAAAACATTAATCTACATCAGGGGTGTCAAACTCATTTGTTTAGGGCCAGATCTGACATAAATGAGACCTTGTTGGGCCGGGCCATGTGTGTCATAAAATGTAATGCCAGGTAGTGGATATATAAACTTTATAAAGGACACAAATGCAAAGATTTTTTTTAACTTAAGATAAAAACATGCTTAAAACATTAGCTCTGTAAGCTGCAAACCTACTTTTGATTTATTGACATTCACCACAGAAATCTCACGCTTAGAGTTCTGAGTCTAGGACCCAGGTTAAAACATGAAATGGCTGAGTGATTAAGAGTCTAGCGAAGCAAGCTATGATGCAGCAGCAGCAGCAGAACTGGAAGAAGGAGATGGCCAGTTCCACTGTGGGGCTGATGGAAGCCCTCCGGGGGCCTGATCCAGCCCCCGGGCCGCATGTTTGACACCACCGATCTACATGTTCTACAAGGCTGAAACTCTTCTTGGCAATGTGCACAGTTGCAAGTCCAAGATGCTCTAAAGTTTACAGGTACACAATACCAGAGATTACATATTATTTACCTGAACCCATCACGCACCCACACCCCTTCAGCTTTTAACTGATACCAGATCAAGAGCTACAAAATATGCAACCAGTTCATCTTTCACCACATATATGGAATATAAGTTTGCCCTTCCTAAGGAAAACAAATCTATGGAAATATTAAGTTCTTCCATTTTAAACAGAGAGGAATTCTGCTAGGGAAACATGGTACTGTATTTTCTGGGCACTGACCTATTAATCAGCCAAAAGACTAATTTCTTTTCTTAACCATTAATGTTTATTAATTCAAAAGGGAATTAGATAAGCATATGGAGCAGAGGTCCATCAGTGGCTATTAGCCACAAGGTATAGATAGGGACTCTGGGGCAAGTGATGCTCTGTCTTCTTGGTGCTTGGGTGGGGGGGTCAACAGTGGGAGGGCTTCTAATGTCCTGGCCCCACTGGTGGACCTCCTGATGGCACCTGGTATTTTTGTCCACTGTGTGACACAGAGTGTTGGACTGGATGGGCCTTTGGCCTGATCCAACATTGGCGTCTCTTATGTTCTTATGTACTCACTTCTTTTTGTAAAAAATTAAGCTCATTTAAATTTGCATTGGCTTTCTGTTAATATGGGAGAGCAGAAATTTCTCTTACATGAGTGATAGCTTTTATTTACTAAATCACCCAGGGTTCAAGGAAGGCCATCTAATATCTTTATTGAGCAAACATGAGAATCTGAAATAGCAAACAATCACAATTGCAGTATCACACCAATTCCTGAATAGCAGTTTCAGAAAATGAAAATCCTAACAGTATGGTCGAAGACAGAGATTTTAAAAGACACTGATCCAAATTGAGCATTGCCTGCTTTCACTGTCTGTGGTACATCAGATTGGGGGGGAGGGGGGACGACCAGAGGTTCCACTCAAAACTGGCATCTGGTTCAGGATACAAGTTGGAAAGAAAACCCTTTTTAAAAAAATTATTTTTCATAAACTTTGGTAAAA